TCTTAAGCCAAAATGACAAGAGCACATACTTTATGCTGTTGCAATAGGTTTTGTTTTGATGCATGAAAAGGAATTCATGGGTGATTGGTGTGAAACAAGGTCAGTCCAATTGTTTCTGTGGATACCCTTGGAACAGTTGGAAGCAATGTCAACAACAACAAACCCAGTAAAATCCAAAAGTGGGGTGTGGAGAGGTGTGTGTACACAAACCGCATCCCTACTTGGAAAGTAGAGGCCGTTTCTTGGAAGCAATGACCATTGTCGATTTGTCGCCATAAAAAACTACCTTACAAACTTAAAATTCAGTGTGCAATGTTCCTATGACTATATGAGCCTCAAGACTCAAACTCTACAATAAAAATAGATTGAGATTCAAACGTACCTTATTTTCCCACTGCACTACCATTCCCATCGCTTCCTCATTTGCAGATGAGAGATTAGAATTTTCTTCAAACAGTCTCTCTATTTCCGAGGACTGAGAATCGATCTGTGAAACAAGAGTAGAAGGGAGCTAATTACTGCTACATATTATATTTAATATGGTTTAAGCATATAAAAAGATAATAGCCTAGAATAAGTTACCTCCATCAGCAGTTTCTGCCTGCTGCTTTCCAATCTTTCAATGGCTACAGCCATTTCATGCAATTGCTTCTCAAGTTTCTCCTTGTCCTTCTAAGAAAATAGCAAACATTTAACTCAAAAGGGAACAAAATTTATTTCACTTGCACAAGAGAATAAATAATCTGAATTTGAAGTTGTAATCACAAGAGACATGGCTATGAGTCAGGCCGAGAAATCACAGTCATATTTACAAGAGTTACTGGCTCACATTCTAAGAATAAATACCAGGCACCAAGCCCTTGCGTGTATGTGAAAGATACACAAGAGTACTACATGTGAAGCACTAGATAGCCAACTCTGTCAGGGGAAGGAAATACCTACCGGAATTTTAGGTGTTGATTTTAGGATCTTTGATTGAAATCAAGACTTTTTTTCTTATTAGAGAAAAAAGAATAAAATTAAATTGACTATATTCTTAAATGAAAACAAAAGATAGGACAAGATTCTCGAGAGAGAACTCTCCAAGTGCCCTGAAGAAATTCATGAGTAAGGGTAAAACTTGCTCCTAAAGTCTGCATACTTCTTCTAAAGACACTCCTCAAAGGGAAGCATGTTCCACAAAGTGTCCCGCTTAGCAAAGGTCCGAGGAAGAGTCCCATCATAACTCCATAAGAATGCATGAAGGCAAACCCTACCCTTCCTTTTAGAAAGAGCCTGCTTCCAAGAGTCAATCTTGTGACCTCAAGGAAACACAGAAACAAGTCAATCAGTGCGGCACCTCAACCGATGCGCTAAGGACACTTTTCTATTTGCATTAAGCCAATAAGCTATTTAATTATACTGTCTATGGTAACAATGACTAAAAGAAGCAAATGTCATGATTTAAATAAAGTAAAAATATCTTAGTCTTCAATCAAAGATCCTAACCCTATCCCTAATATTCAGCTAGTACTTTCTTTTTTGGTTTATTCATTCACTAGTAAGTTTATTCTCTAGTTCTTCACATCCAGTACTCTTGTGTTTCTATCACTGTGCAAAAAAAAAGAAGCATGCAACCCCTAATCAAACTAGTAAAGCAAGTTCTCATGAGAAGACAAATTATAAAATTTCCTCACCATACATTCGGTTCAAGTGATCTATGTACATGTTGCAAATAATTACTCCTGATTCTTTATAGCTACCATGTAAAGAAAGAACAATGGAGGAACTATCATTTCGTGACTTTTGCAATCAAAACTCAAAAGCAATCGGAAACTTTTTAAAGTTTTTTTCCTCGTTCAAATACACTCAACAGCACAAGGCATTTACAATACATTCTGAATTCACGCTTACGGGCAATTACAGTGTGAAAGCATTGTTAATAATCAAAGACGTCATTAATTACCACTGAGAATGTGTCACCATAAGCCTTTTGAGAGATATCTTCTGCAGTCATGAGATCGAGAATGTTATTAGTCCATGTGTACAGCCCCCAAAAATTAGTGCTCTCGAAATCTCACTGCTACTACAATCCCGTAAATGATGATGATGATGATGATACTCGTAATAAACATTCACCAATACGTGAGCACGCGACATATTAATAAAATTGAAGTTACTTTCATTCTGCATTCAAATTGTGATTTCTAAAAGCTGAAATATGGTTCAAGAAAGGATCCAGATCAAATGCATTTTAATACCTGACACCTTTTTGGAAAGAGATGAAAGCTTCTCTTCTAAGTCTTGCTTTTGTGAAGTAAGGGTAGATGTCCGAGTCAGCTCCTCAGCTAGCCGTTGTTGCTCTTTTTCTCTCAACATAGACTCTTGCTGTTACCAACAACTTAGTAAAACTAAAGTTTTGTTAAAATAAAATATAAAAGGTTTCCAGCTCTGAATCTGACCTGAAGAAGAGATCTTAAGTTGGCAAGCTCCTTTTCAACAGTTTGCATGTGATCAGGTGAAAAGCCCAGTGAGGTGGTGGTACTAGGTGGACCACTCATAGATTGTTGCTGTAACGAGTTTAATTCGGCTCGGAGAGCTGCTGCGTCCTCCTCAGCCTAATGCAACAAATTACTAAGCAATTATGTGAACATGGAATTAACTATTTTCAGGTCTGAGATCTCGTTTTGCAGCATTACTAAAGAACTACTAGCATACCCGATACTGCTCTTCTTCTGCCTCCTTTAACTGTTTCTTAAGAGTACGAATCTGCGCTGATAGATCCTCCTATACCAACAAACTAGAAACTGAATTCATTGGAGAGAGTAAACTTCAACAAAGTTAGGACTTGAAGGAAATAAGGAGATGATATGAACCCTTGAAACCACCGCGGCATCTTTTTCCATTGCCACATCCCTGAGTGCTTTCCGCAATGATGGTACAGTATTTTGCTCCTGAAAAATATACAAACCGCTTGGCTTTCAAATTGACTAAACTGAAAATACATAACAGGAATGACTTGCACTTACCAAATCATTGAGACGCTTCTGGAAAGTGTCATTCTCAGCTTCTATTGTCCAAAGCTGATCAATAAGGTTTTTTATGGAAAAAAACTTTGTGATTATGACCTCTAAAGTACAAGAAATAAACATAAAATGCACATAGCTCTATCGCAATTAAGTTGAAGCTAACTACGGAAAAATAAGAAATAAAGCATGTTCACCATGTACTTGTCATACCTTTGAGATCAGAGTTTTGTTTTCTTCTTCGAGATCAGCATTCTTCTTTTGCATCTGCTGTAATTGAGAAACCAAGCCTGCAATGTCATTCTGCATGCACAGAATATTTTTAAAAATAAAAAACAAAACAAAACCGACTAGTAAAGAAAAAAACATGAAATTATTCAGCACTGCTTGCTAATTAGGGAGCCTCGTTGCTTAACTGCAAGATCCTGAATCTCTGAGATTCAATTTAAAGATGACACATCATATAAACTACACATTATGCCATAAATTAAAGATTGTAAAAACATGTCAACAATCAATGAGGAACTTTTTAACCCCGTGATTGCTCACATCCCAAAAAATACTTCCCATTTGACCTCTAATGTCTTCAAACTTTGACCATTAATAATTTAGTGACTAAATTTATAAACATAACTATAAATATATGATATTTTGAAACCACATTTCAAAATTCAAACGAATCTAAAGATATTATCTTCTGCATTTATGCCAAGAGGTCCTAAACTAATCAAACTGGAAGTTATATTTGGGACGAAGGGAGTAACATTTGCTGTGTCTTAACGGCAACGGCAGGAATACATAAAGCCATTAGACATATAAAAAGAATTCCAACTGAGTTTCATACCTCCGCGAGCCGATTTCCACTCTCTGATCTTCTTATTTGGGGAACATCTGCGCCAAAAGGGTTAAAACGTAAGAAACTTTAACACAGTTTAGCCAAAACACGAAAGGATTACCATTAGAGCTAGCAACAGCAATGGTCAGATCAGGTCCAGAAGACGCTTTGATCATTCTCTCTGCGGCTCTCTTCTGACGAATCTCCTCGAGCTGATTTGTGCATTGAACACCATTCGGGAAAGGGAAAAAAAGGAGCAATCAAAAGAACATACAAATTGACGGATGAGAAATTCGAATTCAACGATTTCAAAAAAAAAACGGGGATCCTCACCGTCCGTCGACCCAGCGATGCATGACGAGAGTCCATTGACAACCGAGAAATTTTCTTCAGAAGATTCGGAGTTTCCCGGAAATTGATGTTGGAAATTTTTCAACAATTGAGAGAGAAGGGGCTAGATTTTACAGTTTTGAGTTTTCGGTTAGCTCGGGAATGGGTACCGGGCGCGAACCAAATTTTGGGACGAGACTCGGCCTGGTTGTGGCAGCTAACGTAGAATTTCAGCCTTTCAGGTTTACATTTTGAATAAATTACCACATAGATCATATTCCAAAATATACTTCAAATGTTTATATTCACATTTTGTATCAATGTTAATTTGAGAATGATGTCTTACGTTAACACAAAATATTAGTACGATTTTTTGCGATCGTACTAATATTTTATATCTATATGAGCCATCAAAATATAATTAGAAATTTTTGAGATACACCTAGGTATAATTTTTAGGTTATACCTTGCGTGATTGTTACATATCTGTAATATTGTTTTCTATAATTATTAAATTAATTTTTAAATACGTAAAATTTATTTTTTATATTTATATCAATCTTCAAATAAAATAAAAAAAAATTAAAATTTTATTTTAATTTATATAAAGTAAAATTTACTACGTACTCCCTCCGTCTCGAAGTATTCGTCCAGTTTTGACTTTTGGAACTGTTCATCTAAGCACTTTGACTCATCAAATTCTCTCAATGTGTAAGCCTAAATATAGTCATGTGTGATCTTGTTTGATTTGTCTTTACATATAGATTATTAATATATAATTTCTATAGTTTTTTAATATACAAATTACAAGATAAAATGAATTAAAGAAGTGTATTGGATGGTGTGTAAAAATGAAGTGTATATAGAGTTAGTATTTAAGAAGGGAAAGTAGTTTTGAGAACTTAGAACTCCATATTGAAGGAGACCCACATATAGAGAAAGACGTCAATTTGGGGTGGGTGTACCGTGTACGGTTTACACCTCATATAGTCCGGCCACGAGAGCGCAGATTCCCTTGACAGTCTGGCTCGTGTCTCCTCACCATCCATTGTCTTCTTCTTCCGGTGAATCAATTATCGCCGGTCGCCATGACTCCGATCATCGAATCTGCTTGGTCGGTAAGTTTTCGACGTTCCGTCGCCGGATGGAATTCTCTCTGTGCGTTTAATCGTCATTCTCTAACTCGATGCGCCGCATTGATTGTATCGCCTACTATGTGCCGCTCCGCTTTTATGCTTTTGATCGTCATCCTCTAATGGAACATTCTATAATTTTTGTTTTCCAGACGAACAATTTGTAGATTTAACCACTGTTTGATTTTTGATGCAAATGCACGATCATGTGTGTGGCTGACTTTTAGACACGTTACCTGTTTTTCATCTCTATTCGGTTTTTGTTTTTAAAGCTAAAAAGCCACGTCGGGCATCACATTGAGTAAAACATTTTCTATTGATGTGCTTTTGAGGGGAGATGCCCAGTTTGTCGTCGTCAATCAGGTTATGCGATTCATCAGTTATGTTGTGATGTCAAGTACTCGAGTGATAATGTGATTGTTCAACATTTGCATGTTTAGATTTAGCTTATCTGTTTGGTCTTACTGGGCTCTTCTTCAAAATGCCGCGATTGAATACTGCAGAAGTAAAACAAAACAGAGAGATGATTAAATGTCCCGGGGTTAGCTCAAAGTTTTTTTTATTAGATTGAAATCTAGTGGGATTTGCATGTTTAGATTTAGTTTATCTTTTTGGGTTTGGTGTAAATTTTCAGAGTTAATAATCATTAGTATATTTCTAAGTGAGCACTAATTTAACGACGGATGGAGTATTAGATTTTCATGTCTTGGACTATTTATGGTAAGTTTAAGGGGAGGCAGGTAAATAAAGGCAACTAGAAGTAGGTAGTATGACATAGATCCAACAATAACCAACCCATTAGAATCTCGCGGATGGGGTCTTCGATGGGTATGGCTTAAGTTCAGGGCAACGGCCACCAATGGCCATCATGACCACATAGGCAAATGCAAAAATGATAGGGCACAACTTTTGTACCACAACAAATCGCTACCTCACTCACAGGGGGTATGGGTCCCCCACGGGAGTCCCACACCCATTTCAATGAGGTTGTGAATTGTGATTAGTTGTGGCACAAAGGTTGTGCCTCTCTCATTACTCATCTAATAAGGTAGCCTACAAATTTATATAGCCAAAGTGATTTTATTTTGTCCTTGAGTTAAGGTTTTTAATTCATGTACAAAATGACAACATTTTGGTTGTGATAATTTGAGCAATTAAAACTCAATGGAAACACTGTCCCGCCATTCAATCGAACGGTCTTTCTTCCTCTGTGCGAAGAACAGAAAATAGAATGCCAAGACTCTCTATAGTCCATGTTCATCTCCAGATCAGTAATCTCTTACTTTTCGTCCCATTCCAAATCTGCACTGTATGTTCAACTCTAGATCGATCAATCAAGTTTAAGGGCTTTTTAAAATATTCTTCATTGAAACAACATAATTTTGATTTTATTTCGGTTTTCTAGTTTTCCATGAGTCTGCATACGAAAACAACTATGATGTGATATCGAATTCTAGTACTATAAAATGGGAAAACATACAATAGGTGCTAGATGAGTATGCATTATTTTAATCATGTCAAATAGCTTCTAGTATTGGTGGTATTTGCCTGAAACTCTATGCTTTGTGTGGCATACCCTTTGGCGGTAATTGCTTCTCTACTTTCATGTAAAATTGTAAAGGTAAGGTTTGCATGCACACACCCTCCCTAGACCCTACCTTCTTGGGATTACACTAGGTTGTTGTGCCCTTTGGCAATAATTGTAATACAGATTGCATACATCAATTTAAGTTATAACTCAAATATATGCACACATCATGTTTATATTAATTGTTTTGTGGATTGCTCTTCATATATGCACACATCATGTTTTGATTTTTTTATTTACACTTTTTTCATTTTTAAATTCAAAATTTTTTAAAATTTATTTATATAAATGTTAGTATAAAATTACTATGCACTAAACTACAATAGAAATACAACTTCTTTATATAAATGAATTCTTAAAACTATAAGAAAACTTTAATTTATTTAAATGAATGAATTTTTACAACTATATGCCAATGAAGAATTATTGATCAATAAATTTTTTTATTGTAAACTATTTAAATGTCATTAGCTAGCAACAAACTACATATTTTATAACCATTGTTATAAATTAATATAGATTGTGGGTGGGTGGGTGAGCATCTAATAATATCAGCCTGTTTAAAACCATTGTTATTAGCCTTTTTAAAACTGGCTTATATTTTTCTTTTGATGAACGGTTTGTGTTTGTGGTTCATAATTTTTCGCTCTCTACATAAATTTCAACCACACAGTTTCTGCTTCTCAATAAGTGTGTCAGGTGAAACAAATAATCTTATTTTGAGACGGAGGAAGTAATTACCAAACAAGGCAATTTTGTAATAGCTCATCTAATCACCACATTGTATAATTGTACTAACAGTTATCTGATGCCCATTCACTGGGTTTTAAATTGTTGCAGTATCTTATCACTCATTTCAGTGACTTCCAACTGGCTTGCCTTGGGAGTTTTTTCCTTCATGAAAGTGTCTTCTTCTTGTCTGGGCTTCCCTTTATATTATTCGAAAGGGCTGGATGGTTGAGCAAGTACAAGATTCAGGTATGAATTGGTGGTGGTTTAAATGGATAAGAGGTGCTCCACATTTACCAATGATTTAGTTTTTTCTTATGATTAGTTTTGAGTTTTGAGGCTAGAAGTGGCAAATGAAAATGTTAAAATAGTTTCATGAAAAATAGATGGCTTTGCATCATGCTCAAATCAATTGTGAGTTTAGTTGGACATGTCAAACAATGATTTAAATGGCTAGGTCAAAATGACGAGTGCCGATCAAACCCTTGTGAACTGCTTTAAAAAATTAATAAAAAAAACTGTAAAGTCCCCTTAACTCACTCAAAATCAAAACCTCAATTTTGACACAAAAGGATGTACAAATTTATCCTCAAAGTTAGCACATTTCCAATACTAGCTGAAATCATGGTCTTAGGAGAACAGTCAAATACTAAAGTAGGAAACAATGCTGTTATTTGACATCTGGGGTAACCTCACATGAGTAGTTAGTCATTGATATTTTATATTTGCACATAGAACTCTTCTGTAATATTTATTTGTAAATATGGGAATTGAGCATTGCTCCGATTTCCATATATTTTTGTAGTAGGCAGTGACACGAGAATGGCTTTCTCGTGTTCTTAGCATTAGTACGTGATGATCTAAAGCGGCATTCATTAAATTTTCAAATCTTCACGTCGAGCACGGCAGAAGTTCACATTATTTTATTAGAAAATCACCATCCTTCTAGATTTTCCGCTTAAAAAGGGATATTTCTGTCATTTGCAGATGTACTGAAACATACATTGTCTTAGGTGTACCCTTTTTAGATTCTAGATTTTCCTATTAGTAAAACGGATACTTTTTACCGAAATGGGTGGTCTAGTAGAAAAGTTTTTAAGATTTGTCTCTTAGCAGAGACGTTTCTATCATTGGCAAAAGTATTAGACATTAAAGTTTTAGATCATCTTGCCTATATTTGTCAACACTGTTCTTGATGTTTTATTTGGTGCAGACAAAGAATAACACCCCGGCAGCTCAAGAGAAATGCATCACTCGTCTTGTTCTGTATCATTTTGGTGTCAATCTTCCAGTAATGATTTTATCCTATCCTGTCTTTAGATACATGGGGATGCGAAGCAGCCTTCCATTGCCATCCTGGTATTTTCAGGTTCTTTATATACTTGATCTAAGTATTATAAGTCTGATATTTCCCTTTTTGTCGGATGGTAGAGTTATATCAGTCTACCAATAACTCGAATGTGAAACCCTCGCCACCCTCTCCCCCAATTTATACTTCTCTATTTTACACAAGCATGCATACAGTGATGTGTGTGCACGCCATGGTTGTCAAGTCGTCGCCTAGGCCACGACTAGTCGCCGACTAGTCGTCCAGGCGGTTTTGCCATGGAGATTTGCTGTACGACTAGCGCCTATGGCCGACTAGGCTATTAAGCGCGCTTAGCGACGCTTAGCCGCGATTAGGCGACGCCTAATCGGTGAAAAAAATTGGCCGATTTTGACCTAATCCAATTGACCCGACCCGACCCAAATTTCATTAATTTTTAATTTTTTTTATAAAACACTGCCTCCTTCGAGTCTTCGACGCAATCCATCCACAATCGGCAGTCTGGAGCTTCGCGACTCTAGGCTTCCCGTTCCAGGGTGACTTCCGCGACTTCCAGCCAGCGACTCTCTTCCATCGATTCTCCTCCATCAGTCTCCAGCAGTGACTCTCTCCATGGGTAAGATTTCTTTTACTTTGTTATCATTAAAGTATACTCTATTTGATTTAATTTTCATTGATTTGGTTCATTAAACTATAAAGTATAATATACTTTAAAATTTTCAGTTTTCTTCTATTTTTTTAATATTTCAGTTTTTTTTCTGATTTCAGTTAATATTTTAATTTTTTTCTTATTCTAGTATTTTAGTATTTCAGTTTTTTTTCAGTTTAATATTTCAATTTTTTTTTATTTCAGTTTTTTGATAACTCAAAACATGGAATTAACTATTTTAATATGTCCTTTGACTTCTTATTTGGTTAATTATCTTTCTTGGTGTGTTATTTTTAAAGATTGAAGGATATTTGTTTGTTATGTACTCTTTGTTAAGTGACTTTATGTGCTATCTTTAAACATAAGTTTGCTTTGGTTATGGTGTTTTGACATATAAATATATATATATATATATATATATATATATATATTCATGTTGGGTTAATATAGATATATATAATGTTAAAAATTTTAATACTAATTGTGATTTGTCGCCTAGTCTACGACTAGTCGCCTGGTCCACTAGTCTCCCTGTCACCGACTCGACTCGACTTGTCGACTTAACAACCATGGTGCACGCGTGATGGTTTTTATTGTAGCAGACTTTGATGATTGTTTTTCCTGTGCAGGAAGGTGATTTTGACTCAAATAATATTCTACTTTATCCTGGAAGACTTTGTGTTCTATTGGGGACACAGGATTTTGCATACAAAATGGCTATACAAGCATGTCCACAGTGTCCATCATGAGTAAGCAAATAACATCAGTCTTTTTTTTTCATGCTCATCCTGTTCTGAAAAAACTGTCATTTATTAGTAAGATGCATGGTTTTGCAAGTCATGAATGGTCAACTATTCCCCTACGATATGATTTATTGTTCTTCAATTTCATTTCATAATGGTGTAGCCTTTTTAAAATTATAAGAATGCTTCAGAAATACATACTATGTACTCCGTATATATTAAGGGTCCGTTTGGAAAGGGGGAACTTTTTTATGGAAAATGACTCCTGGTCCTACAAAATGAGTTTTTTTAGAACTCATTTTAACCTGAAAAAGGACTTTCTGGTGTTTGGCTACATTTCGACGTAAATCCTCAAAGTTAGAATGAAAAAGGGGCAGTGGGGAAGAGTTGAGGACGACGACTATGCAACAAACATCTGGAAGTCATGATTTGTTCTAAAATAGCTTTGGAAATTAACATATTTCAAATCCTCATGCGACTATTGAACGCAAATTGGAAGTGTGGTTTGCCGCGTAGACTGAACGCAAATTCAGATGTTGTTTCCAATCAGTGCATGTTGATTTGCGATGGGGGTGATGGCAACTCTTGTGCATTGAGGATGGCGGCGACTGTGCATCGGGGACGGTGGCCTTGCGTGTCCGATGGGAAACAGAAGCGGAGCATAAGAGTGGGGGAAGGGAGCCTGGCTTGAAATTGACTTCCAAAAAAATAAAAGTCAAATTCTAGATTTGAGGGTTCATTTTCCATTTGGCCACTTCTCATTTTCCATTGATCTTGCTCCCAAACGCCAGAGAATGAGGAAAATGACTTCCATTGCCTGACCATGAATATTTCTCTAAAATTAAAGCCAACTTTTGAAAATAGATCCTTTTTTTGGACCAAGAATTATTGAAACCCAACTCTTTTGTTAGAAGCTATAACATAGTGAGTAATTATTATTGTTCATGCTTTCATTAGTGTTAATATATTGTAGGTATGCAACACCATTTGGATTGACTTCTGAATATGCTCACCCTGCTGAAATTCTCTTTCTTGGATTTGCAACAATAGTTGGTCCTGCAATCACTGGTCCTCATCTCATCACTTTATGGCTGTGGATGGTACTTAGAGTCCTTGAGACGGTCGAGGCACATTGTGGTTATCATTTCCCGTGGAGTCTCTCAAACCTCTTGCCTCTCTATGGCGGGTTTGTATACAATCACACTTTTTCCTATTTTACTTTATTAGCATTAGCATGCTTTAAATCTGTTCTTTCATTGGTTGCCAGGGCTGATTTTCATGACTATCATCATCGACTGTTGTACACGAAATCTGGAAATTACTCATCAACATTTGTTTACATGGACTGGTAAAGATCTATTGACCACTATGCATATGTGACATGTAACTTCCAGATAAGTCTATTTTCTACCGAGTATTGGTTTTGCCTCTCTAAAGCCTGTACCCTGTTGTGAGACAAACCGACCAGAGACCGTTCCCCTCGTCCCCTGGCTTGATTGTTGGCCTCCAATTGGTTGCCTACGCTCTTCCCAAACTACCCTAAGTATGCCGCATGATTCAACTAAGGCCTGGCCCCACCCAGGTTCTGACGCCCAACACTTTTTTTGTTATACATTGCCCCACACTTTTATAACACCATAGAGGGGGGTGGTTGCCACTGCTGTCATCCCAATCCCCTTATCTCCGCAACAATTTAACTCTTCAAACAATGTTTTGTCTAAGCACGAAATTGGAGCTTTAAAAAAGATTTTTTTTTGGAATGAAGCTTTTCAGGACATATGATTTGTAGAAGTAACATCAAACACCCCCAACAGTCTACTGATTGAGATTTAAAACTGCTTGCCAGAAAATTCAGTGCATTTGCTTTATTTGCTTTTGTTCTACATCTTTTGTCAGGATATTCGGTACCGACAAGGGTTACAGAAAATTGAAGGCCTTGAAGAGTGGTGGAAGTGGAGGAGAGGGCAAAGAAATTTGATGTAAAAAGTATACTACGTATATTATTAAGATATACTTTAAACAGAGATCACAGGTGTGAAACCCAATGGGGCTGTGACCCCCTGTGCATCTTGTTGCGTGCTATATGGACATGGTAGTCGTCTGTGTTTTGAAGCAGTTACGAGTCTATTTTCGGTTCAAACGTCTCTTTGATTCCGGCCTCCTGTATTGATTGTATTTCATTCTCATTGCATGCATGTCTTCATTGTTCTCTCTCCATCAAGTGTCAGGAATGTGGAAGTGTGGAACTGTTTGGAGTTCTCTTCTGTTGATCAATTTTAGCTCTCTTTGCAGTTCTGAAGCTTCAGATTCGGCAGAGAATTTTTAGTGTTTGGTGGTATGCATTTCTGTTCGTGGGATCCAATTGGGTCGTTGTTGTTGTGGTGTTGTTGGTGGTATGCATTGCTGAACTTCTTTCCGGTATGAAGTTTCTTTGTAGTGTTTGAAATGTGGTATGAAAAATGTTTGCTCGAAGTCTCAAACCCCCCCCCCCCCCCCCCCC